ACTAACCGACAATGGATCGAGAAAGTATAAGACAACATATGATGGGCCTATTTGACATTCATTTTAGGCCCTCTCTACAGCGTCTTAGTCCAAACGCTCGTAGAGTCCTAATATTTGGCCCCGATGCAATTTCTCCAACAATGAATCGGGACCAGCTAAGGCTAGAAATTTCCAATTTTCTGGAGGAAATAACAAATTCGGGGGAGGCAGCTGGGGTCCTCGATCCTCATTTTAGGCAGGAGAGTAGTGTACCACGCCAAAATATTGAGGAATAGATATTTTGTAATTATATAAGAGATAATAATAAAAAAAATATCATACAGAATATCGTTTACATTACTACACCTTAAACTCGCTTATGAAAAGTTTAACATCTTCATCAAAAAAGTTATTTTTTTTTAAGGAAAATTTCTCAGGCCACAAATTAAAGGATCTGAGGTTACTAAAAACTTTTGTAAAATATCCTACATATCCTCGGCGTTGGTGAGAAGAAAACATTAAATTTGTTTAATGAAAATGATTCAAAAGACAAAGAATATAGGTACACGATAAAAAAAAATCTCACTTTTTTGTATTAGTTTTAATGTCTATGTATATATCAGTACACTTTTTTTATCTTGTTTTAATAAAAAAAAGAGGTTTGTCCTGATAGTATTAGAATCTGCCGCACTGTCTGCCGTCTTAAATAGCGAACCCAGAATGAGACGCCAATGTGATTAAAACCAATTATTTGAACGCGATTAAAATGTCCGGTCTTTATACATGACACAGCCTGTATAAAAAGTTTTTCTTAAAAAAAATGCGCAACTAAAAATACCAATTGACGGGTCTGAGCGTTTTATATTTTATAAGCGAATTTTTTCCATTTGGCTGTTCCACACAGTATGCATTTGTTACCACGTCGTGTGAAGCATGACTCGTCTGTAAACAAAAATTTTCTGTGAAAAACTGGATCGGCCGCTCTGCGCTCTTGAATAACTTATACAAAATGCAAACGAGACTCATAATCAGGAGGTAAGAATTACTAGATACTTTCAATTTGAAAGGGATACATAAGTTGTTCTCTAATTATTCTGTTAGATGTGCTTTTCGAAATCTTAGTTTGGCGTGCCAGTCATCGGGTAATAATTCTGAAAAAATTTTCAACTATTTTAAGTATTCAGTTCTCTGCAGCAGGAGTACTGGCTTAACGAGGTCGTCCAGAATGTTTTACGTTCAGTTTTAGTTGACCAGTTTCTAGAAATGGCCTCTCGATAGAAGCAAAAGTCTGGTGATTCGGAATCTGAAAAAAATCAAATAAAATTTTAATCAAACTGTATGAAACTAATTAAATTACGATTATTAAAACTAGATTCTTAAAAGTGGCGGTGGAGCTGAGAATAGAGCATCTGTCTCCCACGTGAATAGCCCAGGTTTGAATCTATTTTTTTTTTTCATGTGTATTTTATACATTATAGTAAAATTCATAAACTATTTTAAAATTAATTATTTTGTCTTAATATCCTAAAATATTTTTTTAAATTTTTTGATTTTCATTAGTGTGTCGTAGCATGATGGTAATAAAAAGTAAATGGCCGATCCTTTCGGTTTTCCAACTGAATCCAGCAAAATGTTAAAATATAAGTTGAAAGAAACATTACCTGACAATTATCCTAACGTTAACACACAATAAGCACATATAAAAGACAAGATAATTACGGAAATCTACTTATAGTAGATTATTTGTTGGCACACACTATCACATTGACGTTTTTGAACTCGATAAACTGGTTGCCGAACAGAAAAACACTAGGCACGTACGCAAACCGTACTCTGAAAATTTTGAGAAGCGAGCGGTTGTCGTTTAAATTGTGCTACGAGGGGGGTTATGGATAAGTTGTCAATAATAAATTTGAAATTAATTTAAAATTAATTTCACGTAACACCCTTTAGATCATTTACGAAAAACCGCTCAGACCCGTCAGTTTTTAATTTTAGGGAAAAACATTTTTTTGTCAGTTTTATTTTTTGAACGGAAAACTACTATCGGGGATGAGACTTACCCCAAAAATCCTAAATGGAAAAAGGGGTCGAATAATATCTTATTTTAAAGGTATTTTTACCTAGATTATAACCCCTGAGTTTTATATCGCTTCTATCTACGTAGCCCATACAGTGGCTCTCCAAAAGTACAAAACCCATTTACTACAGGTTTTACATTGTTTTATTCCTGTGACCTTGAATTATTTTTTATCAGATGACATTCTCTGTTCGTAAAGTAGTAAGGTTTAGTTTATTTCGTTTAGTTTACTCAATTGCTGAGAGGATGCAAATAATTTCACTATTTTTGCAAACAATGACTGTGCTAATAGAACTGCCCAAATGGTTAACCATCAATATCAAAATCGAAAAGTCCATCGAAAGTATATTTTGGGATTAGTCCAAAAATTTCGGAAAACGGGGTCAGTAACTAACAAAAAAAGTAAAATCGAAAATGCTGTAGCAAATAAGGCTACAGAGGTAGCGATTTTGGGGCATGTTCAAAAACCCACATTAAATACAAGATAGTGTAACATTTTAAAAATTCCTTTAAAAATGTTATTTTGAATGTGTGACATCTTGTATAAAAATAGTATTCGAATATTATAAAATTTTATTATTACCGCACGCAATATTCCTAAGAAAGGGAAATTTCGCGAAGTGAGAGTATTAGTTGATTTTCAAATCTTTTCTTGAAATTCATTTTTAAAATCATACCTTGAAATTCATTTTTAACATCATATCTTGAACAACCACAGTGTCTTTGGCTGCGAATGGTGGTGAGTTCTTAAAGTCATTAAAAAACATCTCAGTAGAAATTATATTTCTACTTTTTGTTAGTTATAATTTTATTTTTTGAAAGTCAATTTAAATTTATTCAATATGGTTTGTATTAATTAATTTTTTATTGTTGGAAATTTTTAAAAACAGCTGTTTAAAAGTTTGAATAATATCTCATGCAAGAGCTTTGTGAAAAACAGAATTTGTATATACAATCAGCTTCCATGTTTTAACTCTACATTTAAATGTAAAAATATACACCACATTTTTACAACGCAGAGCTGTTACCTGAAAACATAGGTTGGTGTTTGGACTCGTGGAGCTTCAAAAATTTATGGGGACTGCTGCTGCAACAAATAATCAGGTTCTATCTTTACATAATGTGAAAAGTGTCATTTAAAATATTTTTACTGTTTTAAAGAAACTGTGAAACAGTTTTTATAGGTATGTTAAAGAGATTATAATCTAGTGTTGGTACCAACAAATAAAATCATTTATGTTCATGAAAATTTAAATATAGTTAATTCACTGTCAAAATTGCATTTGTACAATCACTAAAATAAACAAATTCATTTATAGTTATGTTGAATCTTATTTTTTTAAGGTTACAGCAATTCTATTTTTACATAAATTATATATAATTATGAATTAATTGTTTTTTTGATAAAGCTAGAGTTTATAATTGTTAACTAGCTCTTTAAAAAATAAAAAATAAATTATTGGCGTCCTTTCTTTCCTAAAAACTATTTACCCAAAAGTGTCTATTAGAAAAGCCTGAATACTCGACTGACAAAACGATATGGTCTATGTGCTCTTTTTATAATTAAACGTTAATTATAACTATTATTGCAAAATTATTGATTTATATTACAAATTAACGCCATTTTATTACAACAGTTAGCGATAACCTCTAGTATTAAGAGAAGTAGCATATAGAAGATTAATCCATACAAAATACATCTGGTACCAGAACTTAATGAAGACGATTTTGATAGGCGATTACAATTTTATGAAATTATGACTGAACGGACAATAAATGATCAGCATTTCCTTTTCAAGATGTGCTTTTCTGTCACAACTGTCGTTATTGTTCCTATTCAAATCCCAGAATATTTCATAAAGTCCATACGCATCATCTGGAAAAACTGAATATTTTTGCTGGCATTTTTGGCAACCGTATAATTGGCCCCTTTTTTACCTGGAACTTTAACTGCAGAAATGTATCTGGAATTATTATAAAATGTTATTTATCCGGCATTACTGGAGTTGATTGAGAATGACAATCAGCACGTAGCAAACAACTTAATATTCCAGCAAGACGATGCGCAACACCATTTTGCACTGAACGTTCGTCAGTATTTGGATCAAACGTTTCCAGGTCAATGGATAGGAAGGGAAGGAAGTATTAAGTGACTTCCACGGTCTCTGGATCTAACCTCGTTAGAGTTTTTTAGGGAGCCAAAGAAAAAATAAAATTTATGCCACCCAGCCAACATCACTCGAAAATCTGCGACAATGGATAATTGATGAATCTCATCAAATCACCTCAAAGATATTTTAAAATGTCCGAGAGCGTTTTGAACAATACCTCTAGTATCGCATGGAGGCCCAGGGTCAGCATTTCCAGCACTTACTCGAGTGACTTGTAAACATTTAAGGCCGGCCACTCACGTGCAGTTAAAACTGTCAGTTTTAACTCCACAGTTGAAACTGTTAGTTTTAACTGTGAACTGAGATGTACACAGATGTTCATTCCATCAGATTTTTCCATGGATTCGAACGAGGACGACGATATAGCCGCGCTCGGTTTGCTTTTTGCAATGTCATTACAAGAGAGAAAAGGGAAAACGCATAAACTGTGGTGCAAGGAGTGGCTACAAAAACGTAATTTATCTTCCCACATAAGTTTATTAAAGTAATTAAGGGAAGAGCCTTTAGATTTTTTGAATGATTTGCGCATGACTCTATCGTTTACGAAAAATTACTATTGTTAGTTTCTCCTCTGATTATAAAGCAAGATACAGTCATGAGAAAAGCAATATCTCCACACGAAAGATTGTCTGCTACCTTGTGATTTTTAGCAATGAGTATGAGTGTCTCAAATTTTCTACAAGAATCTCTCCTCAAGCACTCAGACAAATTATCCCAGAAACATGTGAAGCCATGTACAAAGTTTGGAGGAGGTATATGCTGGTATGTACATATTTTCAATTTATAATTAATAAGGGAAATTAAAACATTTCTTACTAGAAAACTGCTTTTATTTTTACGAAGAAAAGTTAAGTTACATTTTTGTTGCCTAATTTCTTCATACATCACTAAAATAAGAAAAATAAGAGGATGCTGAGTTGTTCTGTGAATAATAATTTTCTGGCAGTGTTGGATTTTTACTCATATTATTAAAATAAGAAGGTGTTGATTTGTCAGGATAGTGAATGTCTGCTAATGAGCTAGATGTCTTTCTTGACGTTGACGGTGCCATACTTGGAGTAGAATTATTAATACATGAGATTGCTGAGTTGTTGTGAGAGTAGAGGGATTGTCCATTTCCGTTGTTTTGAGTTTCGATAATTAAAGCACCTATAGACGATGACGGTGTCGTCTGTGTGGTATTAGGATTTTGTCTTACTGATATATTATAATGATCCATTGGCGATGTAATTAGATAACCCATTTCAGCCTCAAATTGCACCTAATTTATTTTTTTTCGCAATGAGGGCCTGACGTTTTCCTAGACTTCTCAATCTCACAGCAACTGTTTTCCTATCAGATAATAACGGTCAGATTGTTCCCTTGGTGCTTTGAAGTGGTCGCGCACTGTAGTAAGTACTTTTGTTGACATATCATCATTAATCTTTCTTTTTTTATTCAAACCAGGCCTTGAAATTGGCGTCCTTTGTTGTTTTGCTAAAACATTCTCAGATGCTGATGTAGAACCTTCAACATCAACATCAACGTTTACATCTTTTTTAACTGGAAGTGGATTGTCAGCCGATTCCTAAAAAATAATAAGATATTGTTGAAATATTAAAAAACATAAAAAACACACATTTTAACATTAAATTTATCGTTTCTTGCTTGCTTCAGTTTCCAAAGTCAGAATAAACATGGAAGGAGATTGTAACTTTGTTTGAGGAAAGATGGCATTTCCCACACTGCATCGGTGCAATGGATGGCAAACGCATTGATATAATTTCATCTGTTAACTCTGGATATTATTATAATTACGAAGGCAAACGCAGTATGGTTTTTCTAGGAATAGTTGACGCAAAATACCAATTCATACTGGTGGACTTTGGAACAAATGGACGAATTTCCGATGGCGGTGTTCTTCAGAACAAATCTTTTTTTTGAAAGGCTGGTGAACGAGAGTTTAAATATTCCTCAGCCTGACGATGTTACCGATAATTTCAAGAATGATTCGTATGTCTTCGTTGCGGATGATGCGTTTCCTCTTAGAACAGACATTTTGAAGCCATTTAGGCAAGGACTAATAGATTCAGCCGAAAAAGAGATCGATTATCCCGAGCAAAACAGACTGTCGAAAATGCGTTTGGGATACTTGCCTCACGGTTTTGTATCTTTCAGTCCTCAATTAATTTAGAACCACGAAATGTGGAGAAGGTAGTAATGGCTGCTTTACTTTGCAATACTTTTTGATTGAACATCAGTCTAGTACATACGCCCCTGCAAAATGTATGTATCAAGAAAATAGGAATGATGGGTCTATTATTTCTATCGGTTGCGATAGTTCTCAATCGAACATGATTCCACTTAATCGTCGTGCAAGAAATATTTGTAATGAGGCAAAAGAAATCAGAAATAGTTTTATGAACTACTTCATAAATGATGGCCAAATCACATGGCAAGATAACTACATTTTAATAAACAAATAAATATATACTATACAATAGTTATATAGTTTTTTCTTACCTCCTCACTTTCACTGTCCAGATTTGAAGTTGACGCTTTTGGGGTGTCCTGGTCATGTAGTAAATCAAAAAGGTCATAGTACCAAAGCACCGGCTTGTAAATACTGTCTGCAGATGTTCCAGACCTCTTTGATGCCCCACTTTCTTTTGCTCTTTGCGAAAAGCTGACCTCAGGCTGTTTATTTTTGCTAAGACACTCTTTTTGGTGGCACCAGGTTCCAATTCTCCCAACTTTTTAGCCAATGTATTGTATGCAGAATCGTTCTTTGCGCGATCGTGGTAATCGGCAGATTTAACTTACCATAAGCAAGGTTTCGATCGATATAACTCGATAAAGTCAACCATAACTTGGTTTGGTTTTTTAGGAGACATTTTACTTTCTAAACAGGCAATCGGCAGAAACTTAACTAAGTAGTATGGAAATGACAGTTCAAACCGCCACACACTCAGTTCAGTCTATCATTTTAGTTAAAAATATAAATAATTTCATTTCTCTCAGTTAAGCTGTACAGTTGAAAAATTGGAGTTGGACTGTGACTAAAATAGTCATTAACTTACAGTCTTAACTGTCAGTTTTAACTGTGCAGTTGAAACTGACAATTTTAACTGCACGTGAGTGGCCGGCCTAAAGAAAATAAAAGTCGTTAAAAAATCACGGCTAGGAAGACAGTAGCGATTTAAAACTCGGAGGTTATAATCTAGGTAAAAATACCTTCAAAATAATATATCATTCGATTCCTCTCTCCATTACGGTCGGGGGGTAAAACTGGCAAAAAATGTTTCTTCCTAAAATCAAAAATTTACGGATCTGAGCGTTTTTTCGTAAATGATCTGGGGGTGCTTAAAATTGGCTGATTCGTTTTCAAATTGTCACCCTATATGTAAAGAAATTCGCCTTATTTTGAGCCAACTGTAATAAAATTACCTACATTGTACTAATCTTTGGATATTACCTACTTATATCTGTTTATTCCATCATCGCTAATTTAAAATGATAATGTTTACTCACATAGGTACTGTGTCCAAATTTAAATTTAAAAAATCTTTTCCGTAATTTAACTTTAGAATTATTATTATCCGCAAGTACTTTTTATTATACGAGCCCAAAAAATATCTTAGTATGTTTGGAATACCCTGTATAAAATTATATATTTGAAATTTAAACAATTATTTGTCTGAGAAAATAGCATATGTCTATCAATTAATTTAATTTTATGATACAATCTATCTTTTATTTCAATATTTTAAGACAAATTGATTTATTCTATACCTAACTTGATAGAAACCATTAAGTAGATAAAGTGCCTACTGGTTCTGGTATTTCCTCATGTTTTTGTCTACACTTTGGACGAGTATTTTTAAAACAGTGATACTAAAATCAATTTGCCCGAGGCCCGAAAAATATCACACAAAGCAACTTGACATACTTGTTATTTTAGTTTAGGTATAGTACCAATACCTACCAAACAACAAAATCGTTTTGAAAATCTGTACATAATTTGAGTTTTTAAGTAATAATAGAGTTTTAATAATTTTATATAAAAATAAAAGTTTTCTGTATTGACCATAGAACTAATCTTTCTGCGTCCAACGAGTTTTTTAAGTTTTGAAACTGCTGACATAGTTAAGTGTAATTTTACCGATAGGGTAAGTAGGTTATATAAACAAATATAAGTAATATTTTAAGCTATAGCCATTTGAAACATTTTGAAAAACAGTTTTTTATAACACACACACAAGGGAGTATATGATAAAATATTTTTCTTAGAAAGTTTAATAAATGAATATGTGTTAGACACTAAACTGACGATTTGTTTGTTCTTCCGATTTCTTAATACTTTTCATCAAAAAAATTAAAATAGGGTTCGTCATAATCTTGATAATTTTTGTTTTACTTATATTGTGAAAAATGTCATTTTAAATCTTTTTACTGTTTTAAACAAACTATGAAACATTTTTTATAGGTGTGTTAAAGAATGTTCATGTTCTCCTCCCATTACTATTATCTTGAATCTTGACTGTCGTTTTATTATGGACAATAGGGTATGGACGACTTTAGGTCCAGTGGAATTTTAAAGAAATTTATATTTTATCAGAAATAGCGTATTTTAAATGGTACATTAAAAAAAAATTGCGGTAAATGCATTATTTAACCCTTTAAGTCGCAAAACTTTTTTTTTTAATATTACCATTTGTTTGTTTTAATTTAATAAAAAACCGTTTATATCGGTTGTTTGACAAGGAAATTTTACAGTTTTTTTTCAAAATTGTTTCTCTAAGTGGTGGTCCCTACTGGGACCACAGCCTTAAGATGACTGAAGGAATATTATATTTCGGTGGTCTCAATAGAAACCACTATTTATATTTCTAAATTTTATTTAATAAATAATACTTATTATGAAACGGCTGAAAACATGAAATGCATAAACCTACGTTACATTCAGAGCAAGCAAGTTTTGTACGTTTAACTTTTTTTTGCACAACTACGTTTTGTGCCTTGCACTGGAAGGTAATTTCCAACATCTACTTTTTGAACAATATTTTCAACAGTAACGCTTCTATCATCAATTTTTTAAATTTTATTTTTAGTTTTTAACTTGACTATCGTCAAGTGCAAACAATTTGTTGAATTCCTCATATCTAATGCTTTCTAACTGCTTATAAGACCATTTGTTTTTACTCAACCGATATTTTCAAAGCGGTTAAGTTCAAAGAAAAATTTATATTATCATAATAATATGTAAAACTAATGTCTTAGGTGGTATATTTGCATGTTAGAAATCTTTATATGTCAGTTTATTTTAATAAAAACATTAATCAGAAAACAATATTTTTTTAGGTTAGAATTCAAACCAGTAAATTTTTTTCATCTACCGGTTGAAATTAACACTAATTTTACTTCCAAATTATATACCTTACCCGTCACAAAGTATACTAAATGACACAATTCACAGATTTTATTATTTTTTTGCAATACCAACGGGAAAATCAAGAAAAAACCAATCTCTGAAAAAAGTGCAACAAACGTTTCTTTTAAGGTAATGGTGGTCTCCTGTAAGACCACTTATAGGTGAAATATTTGTTGCCTATATAACCAGGGCGGCAAGTGGTCCCTAGCATAGCCACTGAACGTTTGTGAAGTATTAGCTTTCACTTAGGCTCAAAATTGCGTGACTGTAAAAACAATTTTTTACCTTAAGAACCATGGTCCATATAGGAACCACGAACACTTAAAGGGTTAAGCCAAAAAAAATTATTTAATTTCTATAAAAATCAGCATTTTGACGACTGTAAACATCGAAACTCGATGGTTCTGTCAAAATTGGAAAATATAATTGCAACGTTGCCGGATTGTGATAAAATTAGTAGTTAATGGAAAATTGTGATTGCCCATACCGGTCCATAAATATGCCACAAGAAAACGAAGCAACAACTTATCGTAGGGTGGCGGCTTCGCCGCCACCAAAAAACATCAACCCATACCTGGCTACGTCGACCGGCATAGACTCCAACGGCCTGGACACAGCTCAAATTGAATTGAAAACGTAAATTTTTTCACATAATTTCTTGCGATTGCGCACACCAGTCCATAAATATGCAACAAGAAAACGAAGAAACTACTTATTGTAGGGTGGCGGCGAAGCCGTCACCCTACGATAAATCTTAGGGTGGCGGCTTCGCCGCCACCAAAAAACATCAACCCATACCTGACTACGCTGACCGGCATAGACTCCAACAGCCTGGACACAGCTTAAATTGAATAATTAAAATGAAAAGTCTCAAATAAACACATTTATATTCTGGTTTTATCATCTGGCCTGTAGCTATTGAAAAAACAGCCACTCTCATTCCTGTTATGTACGTTCTTTTACTATATTTGACAACTCGACATTTATAGAAATAAAAATATCAGTTGTCATATTATTCATAAACAAAAAATAATATAGAACGGTAATACCATGAATATATTTATTTATAACAAAAAGCAATTGGCAACATCGTTAAAATCACGCACAGGCGCTCTTAGTGTGACTGTCAATTCGAAAAAATTAAAAACAATATGGCTACGTAAGAATGTCGTGAATAAATGCATATTCTTAATTTTTTAGCTTACAAATGTGTTTTAATAATATTTGTTGCTTTATTTAGGTTAGTGCACACTTATAGAAGATTAAAAAGTGTAAAAATATTATGGTTTTACTTAATCTTAATGGAAAAAGTGACAAAATTACTGTTCCTAATATCGACGGTAGACTGGACAATATTCTCTATTTCATAAATTATGGTGAATTATCAGGTGTATACAGGGTAGTGCAACGGATAGTATGCATCTAGCTTTTCTTCTTTTCGTGAAAATACGCTATTGTTACTTTGGAGGGGAATATATTTTTATCAAATCATTAATTATTGTCATGCGTAATTGTGTAATTATTGACTGTGTTACTTATGATTTTAGGTCCCTATGGCGTGATAATAAACTTAAATATTATAAAGTGTGACACTTTATTTGAAAGCAGATTTCATTTATAACGTAATGCATATAACAAAACAATTGATTGAAACTTGAACTTGGATAATTAAAAAACTTTGATAAGTTCTAACGTTAAAAAATACAAAAATAAAAAATATAAATTACAATAACACAGAGCATAAAACAGGAATTAAAGATTATTTAGCCCCAAAAAGTTACTGTAGAAATTAGTTTATTACAGGGTTATTCGAAAATATGAAATATGGTTTTTTCAAAAAAAAATTTTTTTTATGATAGCGTTTAAAATGAGAACAGTTATCACTGTACCATAAAAATTAAGTTAGGTAACTGCTTTTGATGGTATATCATATTTTATACAGTATGACTTATAAATATGGTTACAGAAAGCATATTTTGTTTTTCGGCAATAAAAAGTTACTATGTATAAACGATGTATCTGAATTTTTAATATTATATTAAATAAATGTAAGACCTGTCACTCTATGTCATAAAGGGTATTAAACCGATAGCAAAAACTTTAAAAAGTAGAATATATTTTTTATTTAATTACTGAGACCCTTCATGTTTCCGATCATTCCGAGTAAGAAAATCTAAAAAGAAAATTTCGTCTGGTCGTCTGTGTGTATTTATGCCGGCACAATAACTCTAGAACGAAAGTTCTGATTGACTTACGGTTTTGCTTTTCTTAAATAATTACTTCTAACTTAGAACCCTATTGATTTTCAGAATTTTCGGCTCATCCTAACACTTTAATACCAATTTTTTAAAAACCACCTATGCAATTCTTATGTGACAATTTTAGGAATTTCAATTATTTCTAACGTCAACATTCCTAACATTCTCAACATTCCATACATTGCAAACATTTTCTAACGACAACAGCTGTTGATAGTAAAGGAGAAATTTCTAAGGCGGGTTGCGACCTTCATACTTGCAATCTTAGTCATTTTCAAGGCTATTTTTATTCGAAATTAGTCGCCAAGCCTGCCAATTTATGCAGTTTCTTAAAAATTACTTTTTTATGGTGGTGCTAACTTAGCGTACTACTATTTCGCCCCTAGCCACAAAAACACCTCCATCAAATTTACTGGTTTTCTGTCGGAACCCCATAGAATAATTAACCGGCTATTTTATTTCGCAAAAAGCAGAATAATGCTTGACTGTGTCTGTCAAGTATCAAGATATCAACTGTGATGTGTGAATGGCTCTTAAATGTCAAATTATTTGAAAATGTATGCTTCTTTTGATATTTATTCCAAATAAATTGTAGCGTATCTTAATTCAGGCTTTCCATAAATAAAGGTACAGCAAGACAAATAATATAATATTCTTATGCAAAGCACTTTTTTATTATATAAAAGAGAGTTAGGACACAATGCTGGTTTTTTGTATATAATTTTAATTATACAGTTTTGGATTACATATTCAACCAGCGAATTGTAAATAATAATTAGTAAACTCCTAGTCATAAAGTCCTAGCCATTTCACATTTTGATCAATTATGATAACGAGGTATTTTGTTATTTTTCATTTTAATTATAAAGTTGTAATTTATTTGTATGTTGAAAGAAGGCCTTTGTAAATAACATTGCTCTCCATGGATCTACTTTAACACAAAAATAGATTTGTGGCTATAAGTTGCTATAACCTATCGTCGCAAAACTATTAATAATTTAAACATAGCAGTAAAACGAGGTAAAACAAGGGATAGAATAACAATAAATTAAGGGATATACTTTATAAGGCAGGTTTAAAGAGTATTATCACAAGAAAGTATATCCGTTCTGTTTTATTTATCAAGTATTGTTTGAGGTTACTTTGGAATACATTTATTGTTTTTTTTTTAATTTCTGTAGGCAGTCAATTAAATTGTTTAAACCTTAAATAAAAATTGTATTTTGGGAACTTTTAGTGATGGCTTGCCGTACATGAAAGTCAGATTGGCTTCTTGTTTATAGTTGTGATATTGTGAATTATATTGAATTTTTTCTAATAGATCTGATGCGATGGATTTATGACACTTTTATTTTATAAACAAATATCAGTCATGTACTGAACATAATTCTGAACTTAAAGCCAATTTAGTTTTTTTAACATCGTTGCAATACTCATCCTTCTGTCCTTTATTAATAGAATATAAATAGGCGAAGTAAGGAGCCCAAATATTTTACATAAGCAGGCCTAAGAGGTAAAGGGGCCAATTATTATTGGATAAATTGATCGAACAAGTTTTTAAACTCTAATCAAAAGGCGATATAAAATGGTTTTAAAAATAAAGGCTTGCGAAAATCATCACATAGTTTAACCTACGTAATGCCAATGCTTCACAAAACAAAAAATTCAACGTCCTAATACTACTATCAGCTTTCGGTCTTTCGTTCCAAGTTAAATCATTTCTCGTTTTTGTTACGCTACGAGTTTACCCTTGTGGGCCTCAGTCTCGATAAGGTGCGAACCACCATTTTAGCGTCTCTCGAATTTCTAATACATATATGTACCCACTTTTTCAAGAGTTTGAAGTCATTATCTTGATAATCTAGGCTTTCTTATGCATGATTTATGATATTACGCTAATTGCAATATTTTAATAAGCCCCCCTTTGGTGAGGGATTTGCATATTTTTTTGTAAACGCTCAGAATTGTTGCTAATTCACGACAAAAAATACGAACTGGAGAAAATAAAAAGCTTCTTAAAGAAACATCTTAAGATCTAGCATCAATTTCGCGATACCAATTTTAAGAACATTTCAATGCTTGTCGGTTTTTTGCAGAATGTGATGCAAAAGATGTATAAATTTAAGGGTGAAGTTATGTGTAGATGTGTAGTTGGGATTAATTACGATGATAGAAAACAAGAGTCATTTATGTTTCACAATATCAATTTAATTAGCGACCAGTTTGTAAGTAGGTGAAAATTAAACAAAAAACAGAACAGTTAAGGGTTAACGAAAAGGGTTAACAATAATTTGACTTACCATGACATATTCTTTACGAATAAGTTACATAAATATGTTATTATAATAAGTATTAATTGTCACTGTCTAACTACATAATAACTTTATATTGGACACAGTGATCGTTAATAATGATATATACCGTTAATAACATATGCAGCTTATCCGTATCGGATATGTCTTGGTAAGTCAAATTATTATTAATCCTCTTCTTTAACTCTTTAGTAACTTTTTTCTTGCCAGGTCTGTCGTCTATCTACACATAGATGTTATCATTACTTTGTAATTATAATATTTATGTATCACGGGCGTAAAACAGGCGTTTGTGTACTGCAACGTGTAAGCACAACACGTAAGGTCTATAAATGCTGTTTACGCCCGAAATACATTGAAAATTTTATTCACGACCCTTTTAATGATAATTTATTAATAAATATATAAAATTTTATGTACGACTGTATTAATGATGTTTATTAATAAGTAACTCTTATTTTCTCTTTTTCGCCTTTATAAAAGAAAATTACTTTACCGATGGGCGCTAAAGTAGTTCGCGGGCGGTAAAATAGTCCGCGGGCGATAAAGGGGCACTTTACGCCCGCTAAACGTATTTATAATCGGGACTTTATCGCCCGGTCGTTCACATTACTTATTTATATATCAAGGGCGTAAAACAGGCGTTTATGGAACGCAACGGTAGGTAGGCAAGGGTTATTAATATGTAGGGTTCATGAGGGAACTTTTAATGTGTTGCTCCCATCATGAACTATTTGTAGATAAATGTAAAATGTATTTATGGTAAATAAAGAAAGGATGACATGTCATGTATATTATAAAATTAACAGTCATAATGATAATCAATAAAAATAGATCCGTGGTAACGGATGTTGCCAAGAAAGTGAGTTTAACTTTCATCAAGGCTGCCACTTAATAAAGGTTATCCGATAGTTGACAAGACAAGTGTGTGAAGTTCTAAGGTATGAATGTATGTAGTGCAATCGAGGCACTACAATACTTCCCCCTTTTTTGAAGTGTATGTTGGAGGTTTTTATTTTGGTTATAATTTTAAGATTTTGTATTTTATTAGTTCCGTGTTGTTTATTATGAATATGATTTGTAAGTGTTTGATTAGTATTGGTTTTGTTGGTACTCATTAGTAATTGCTAGGTATCCGATAGGTTCTTTCTACTTGAAGAATACTACCGTCGATACCATTTTAGCAATTACTCTTGTTTTCTATCAGGACGTCACATTGTCCTAGGTAGAAAAGCCATGGAAATTGGTCTATATGTGTGAATACTTGAGTTTTTTAGCACGTGCCCGATTTGGTCTTTATTATGTGGATATTTGGTTACATTAGCACATATATGCAGTATAAAATTCTAGTTGCATGTGTTCTGTATTATGTTTTTTGTATGTTAAAAATGTTTCTTGTTAATGTTTGTTTTTATATGCTGGTGTGTTATGAATTTTATAAAGAAATGGTTCAAAAGAATTTTTTTTTTATTTTCGAAAAAGTATATGAAGTTAAATTTAGAGTGTGGCAGCCAGTAGAAAGATTAAACTCACCGCTGCTTTTGCTGCTGCTATTGCCATTGCTCTTGCAGTTCAACTGCTATCAACGTTGCTGCTGCAGCTCCGTAGTGGTTTCTATGACTGCTTACATCGGAAGTGCGTTTCAGTTGGGGTCACCAATATGGGAACTTTTATTTTATTTACTTTATTTATTTATTATAGATAAAGAACGGATGACTTGTCATGTATATTATAAAATTAAAGGTCATAATGATAATCAATAAAAATTGATCCGTAGTAACGGATGTTGCCAAGGAAGTGAGTTTAACTTTCATCAAGGCTCCCACATATTGAAGGTTGTTCGAAAGTTGACAAGGCAAGTGTGTGAAGTTCTAAGGTACGAATGTATGTAGTGCAATCGAGGCACTTCGGTCCATAAACGCTCTTTACGCCAGAAATACATACAAAATTTTATGCTTTACTTTTTTAATGATAATTTATTAATAAATATAGTAAATTTTATTTATGACCGTTTTAATGATCGGTTATTAATAAATAGCTATTGTTATTATTAACTAGATAAGAATTTTTAAAATAAATAAAAAAAATTATGATTTCTTAACAATATAAGTATTATACATCCACTTTCTATTGATTTATGTAAGTTTTTACTCATACGAGTTCTTTTTTCATTACTTAATTATTTTCAACCATTATTTAATTATTTTCAACAAAATTCGACCACAACTAGAACCTACACGGAAAACCAGTTGACTAGTAGACATGTAACTATTACTGTTGATTTGGATTCAAAGACTTCTCTTAATTTTCAAAACTGTTCTAATTTCACAATTAATTTTGGAACAAATAAATGAAAGAAAATATTGCATAATTCTTTTGTATTATTTAAATTAATAAACATAGAAAAATAATGGTATTTTATATTGGTTGGTGGAAAATGTTATTGCGCAGGTTTGTCAGATACAAATTTGTATATTGTATCTACGTATATAGTGACAATCAGCCCACTTATTTTTACATACCATTGTAAATATTACGGCATGCAGGTGGCGTGTATATATTTCGTTTTAGGTTATGGACTCTACCATTTGTTTAAAATGGGTCAATAATAGTTGATGTCGATTTACTATCTTCGATTGAACACAGAATCTATTAAATGATTGGAAAGACTACTTTTGGAAAACTCATTCTACTCCTTACGCTTATTAAAAAGTCAGATTATCCCTCTGAACCCTCAGAAGGATATGCGGCCAAGCAAAGGGAATCAGTCCTCAATTTATCTGCTGGATTTACCAAACCGTGGTAAAACTCATGGTTACGTACGGCTCCGTCGTCTGGTGGGAAAAGGGAGGCTGGAATCCAGTGACTTTCGTGCATCGCTATAACTGAGGCAATGCCAACTACACCGACGGGAGTCATTAAGACCATGCTAGAACTATTCTCTCTGCACATTTTGCCAGGATCATCTTCTATAGACTTCTCAAAATGGGTAAACAATGCAATTAAGAACAGCGATGGGACAAAACAGACTGATGGACGAGGTGAATAATCACCATATCGACATGGTCTCAGACTCGCTAGTTTCTGACAGCGTCGTCATTTCAGAAAGAGACATATGGAACAAGGGAATAAAACTCTTCTAGACGGGCTAAGCGGGACGGCTTCAATACTAAAAAAGAATAAAAGCGGGAGTTGACATATTAATAACCCTAGGCTGTCTAGTAGCATTGATTGCCCTAGACTTAGGAGTAAGAGAGTTAATTAATTTTCTTCCCGACAAGACTATAATGAAAAGATCTTTTCGATAGCCAGGCAGCCCTCAAGGCCCTGAGCTCCAATTAAGTTGACTCCAAGACGGTTTGATACTGTATAAATACCCTTGACTATCTCGATGTTGAGATCAAAGTTACTTTGATCTGAAATCCGGGACACAGCGTTGTGGAGGGCAATGAACAAGCCGATGCGCTCGCTTAAAGAGGAACCGAATCTGAGTTCATAGGACTAGAACTTTCGAAATTTAAAGCTGTACTTGGAGACTCACAGCCTTTTCTTTTTTTTTTAATAATTTTTATTTTTAGTAATTGAATATATTTATCCTTAAATTTATATTTAGTGTAAACATTTTACTTTCTTCAGTTTACATAATTTTCCAACAGGCCTGCCTCTTGCTAGTGTACAATTTGTTATGATATTCTGTAGACTTTGCTTTAATGATACCAATTCCGTATTAATGACTTTGTTGTATGTCAGAAACTATTTATACTAAAGTTTTGAAAAAACAAACATTGTATAACGAAGTGGGTCCAAAGAAAATGCTGGAAACTATTTTTAACTTTATATTTAAACCGTTAGAGAGCGTAATTCGTTATATTCGCAAAAAATCACTATTCACCAGTAAATGTCCAATATTAGTATGATAATAATACAAAAATTCTATCTAATACTTTTTGCTCTATTCAATAAAATAACTGGTAGGGGCGATTGGGAACCTTAATTAAATAAAACTATTATAATCACGGTGTTGTTCATCAGATTTTGAAAAACTTACTATCGATTAAAAGTAAAGTGATTGTTTAGTAAAATATTTCAATATAGTTTTGATTGATTTGTTTAAACGAGCACTAGGTGGCGTCGTCTAACTATTTTTTCGTAGTTTCCTTGAAAATTTGAAATGTAATTTTAGGTACGGAATGAGTTATTTAAAAAAAGAAAATCAATTCTGACAAGAAACTGTAAAAAACAAGTCTTATTATCTTTTTCTTAATGACATATAAGCAAAAGTATTAATGGCAAATAGTCCACCTAGATATATATTTAAGAATAAAAATAGCGTTGGTGATGACGGAATCAACGTTAACACTTAAAAAAGTTTGTAGAAGTAATTTCCGAGCCGCTTGCTTTCTTAGTTAATTTGACATTTAATAGTGGTTCCTTTCCGGTCAAACTGAAAAATGAAAAACTGGTACCAATTTTCAAAAGATCCTGTCCAAAGTGTTCAAACAACTATCGTTCTAAATGTGTTATCTAAGATTCTTGAACGCATCTATTATGATCGGCTTATAATATTTCTTGATATAAACAATGTATTGTCTCCTAATCAGTATGGTTTTCGAGATAAACATTCTTGAATTTTTTACTGAAGTGTATGATAAAATAAACAACGGCATGTATGTTGCCGGCCTCTTCTTTGATCTCTCTCGAACGTTTGATAGCCTTCAAATTCAATTTGTCTTAAAAAAGTTATACTCTTTTAGAGGTAACATATTGAATTTGTTCGAAACATATTTGTCAGATAGACAATTTTATGTACAAATAAATAAGGAAAGATCTGAAATATATAACACTGCTATTAAGGTTCCTCAGGGATTCGTACTGGGCCACTAATATTTATTATTTTTGTAAATAATTTACCTCAGTATTTAGATGGCGGATCAGTTTTAATGTTTGCCGATGATTCATCAGTGGTGGTATCAGCTCGGACCGTTGATGAACTTCAACACACACTTAATTCTATACTAAATCTATTTGAAAAAAGTTCCCTTATTCTTAATATTGATAAATCCGTTTATATAAATTTTATATGCGTCAAAAATAGCTTACCTATAGTAGTCCCACCAATTACACATGAAGTAAAAACGAAATTTTAATTATGGTATTCACAAGTTGATCAAGTATCTAAAAAGCATAACTCTACGTTTTATGCCATATTGCAATCAAAGAAGACTATGGACCAAAAACCATTATTGAATATTTAATTTTTCCAAGTTTACCCTCACGTATCAGATAATGTTAGTTTATGGGTAGACTGTGTAAGGTCTAACAAAGTTTTTGTTGAACAAAAGCGCGTCATACTTATATTGTTTGGAATTCAGGCAGGAGTAAGTTGTAAGCAAATGACCATTAAACATAAAATTCTTCCAATACCATGCATTTATATTTATAAAACACTTTGGTATGTAATGTCTAACTCACACAAATTCAAAAAAAATCCGATTTTCACAGATATCCCACCAGAAATGCAAATACGTTTATTTCTGTTCAACATAGACTAGCATTGTTAGAAATAGTCCGTCAGATAGTGACAGGTTTAGGTGCCCCATTTTCGCATACAAGCCTCGAAGAGGGTTGAAAAGTACTTCGATTTTAAGTAGAATAAAAGGAAATTTACGAGTGGCTGCTGGGGATAACACATGGAAAATTCGATTTTCCTTAACAAAAATGAAAGGTTATTTGTTGCCCATTTTTCCACTCAAGCCGTTTTCACTACATGATTAATTAATAGAACTAGGCTTCAGAAAACCAATGGCTTTAATGTTGCAAGTGGCTAAAGGGTTAAAATAAGGGCGTAATCTTCTAAGGAAAAATCGAGATTTTGCCCGATTTTTCCACACAAGCCCATCGAATGTATGAAAACGAACGTCGTCACTAGTCCGAAAAACATATTTTCCTGAATGACCCGAATGTATAAATACATTTTGAGGTCGGAAAATTTTTCTGATAAGGAAAATCGAATTTTCCATGTGTTATCCCCAAGAGCCACTCGTAAATTTTCTTTTATTCTACTCAACATCGATGTACTTTTCAACCCTCTTCGAGACTTGTATGCGAAAATGGGGCACCAAAATCGGTCACTATCTGACGGTCTAAAAAGTCACCGCAATATATAGGCATAAAACTCCTTAATAAATTACAAATATACAAGCCTTACCTTACACTAAATTTAAATGTAATGTAAAAAATATTCTCGTGGGTTTTTTTATTCAGTTAACGATTTTTCGTTTAAAAGTCTTCTTTAAAAAATAGTTTTATTTATGGTTAACTATTGGTTTTAAAGTATGTGTTCAGTATAATGTAAATTTTATTTAAAATTTCATTTATTAATGTTGACTTATACATCCATCTATAAATGGCAGCATTGGCTAGTACTAAAAAATATATTATTACTATTATTATTATTAATAAATAAAATTATTTTTATATTAATCTACTTGGCTTTAATACGTCAGTAATTTTTCGATAGCTTAGTTGTAGTAATGAATTCACAAAATTATTAAAATCCGATTTTATTTAACTCTATAGTGTAAGTTTACTGGTTTAACAAAACTAAAAATGTGAAACAAAAATTAAATATATTAATAAAATACAAAACAAGTAACTAAAAACATAACAAAATAGAAAATAAAACACCAATAGACTACCCAATACCTCACAGAATTGTGACACAATATTAAATTCAGACATAATAAATATTCTTACATTAACTAGTGTTCATCCAGTGGTGTAAATTCAACCATAATCATTACTGAAAATTTAAAGAAATCATGCATATGCATTTGTATGGTTCTAACATTTTTTTTTATTCTTATAAACTCGTACATTGTATATGTGAGACCAAAAACTTTTATGTGTACCTACAATACAATAATATAGTTCAGTACCATTGTAATTAAATAAATAATAAATTCAATAAAATAAACTCTTATTTTATTCAGACAATTTAAAAACCCTCATTTATTGATATGAAACACATTTTTGTCACAGCTTTTGTTAAACCGATTCTGATTAATGTGCACTTTTTTTTCTTGACATTTCTTCCTCTTTTCGTTTACTTTGTATTATATTTACTACACTTATAGGGGGGGGGGGTGAAGTGACCTGTCCTTCGAGGGATCATAATGGTCCCTCCCAAAGAGCATCCAAAAAATATAATACTAATCCAATCATTAATATCTGTTATAAAATCAATTGTGAACTTTTTTTGTGGGAGGGGAAGGTAGTAACGAAAATTGGACTGTTTAATAATTTTTTGCACACCATTTAATCCACCATTCATTACAGACGCGCTGTTATAGCTTTGAGCAATTAATTCATTTGGACTATGTTTTATTAATGGATGTAAAACATTTAAAATGCATTCAGCGTTTGATTTGGCGTCGTGTCCATCGAGCATGTAAAACCTCCAAAATCTCTCAACTGGTCGTCCCTTACACAAATATCTGAAAACTATAACTAATTGAAATTCACAAGCATTGTCCATCGTTTCATCGGCAATCACTGCAACAAAAGGAGAATTTCTTATCTTTCCTAACTTCTTCGTAATGCACATCTAACATGCACTTAAGAAGTTAATTTTGAGTTGTTTTTGAGGTACCTTTGAACTTTGAATATGAACCTTTAAGTCGTTGTCTAATTCGGCGCTAAAATTCACCAGCTCCTTAAATATGCCTCTATTTTGCGAATTATCGTGACCCCTTAAAGCTAACTCAAAAGCTCCACAAAACCTTATACAATTTATAATTTGATTCAAATCATATCGATTCTTAACCACTTGTTGATTATGTTTAATTAGAGCATCACGATAAGCCGAATTTAACTGGGTTTTTATATTTAACTAACCAAGCATGGAAAAGATAAAAACATTATTCATGTGCACCCCTAGATTTTTCATGGGATTTTATTTTATCTCATATATGGACAAGATCGTCTGTGTCTTCTTTTATAGTCTATTTTTATGTATGAGAGAGTATTAAAATAATAAAGCGTTCGTAATCCATAGGCGTACCACTTCTTTTAGTAGACAGTTAAAATATTTTTCGAAGTTATTTCTTGAGTATACACTTATATTTTCACCTAAGTAACCTGCTTATAACTTCTAAACAGCTGAAGGTAAAAAAGTGCAATTTTTTCTAAAATGTTTTATTTTTCCACAAGTTATGTTAAGAACATTGTGTCAAACGGGTTATGTAGGTATAAGGGTTTAAAATTTGACTTTTAAACAACGTTACGTTCATAAATAATAATTTTAATATAAAAACTACTTCTTACCTACAAATCCAAATCAGAATCGAAATCAGAAGATGAACTGTCGCAACCAATATTTACAATGAGTGGCTCGATCACTTCAACAGTAATATTGTCCAACTTCCACATTTTCTCTTCTTCTTTAATCGTATGATTTACTGCCTTTTCCCAGTTTTCAGGCTTCACATTATTTACAGCCTCCAAAAACAACTGTTTAACATCACTCATTTTAAAAGAACCTATTTCTTTTAAAAGTTTCCATAGTGTGCTTTGACTCATTTCAAGGTAATCCTTATCATCTCGAACCGTGGCAAGAACTTTGTCTACTGTCGGAAATTCTTTTCTAAAGAAGAACGCATGCACTTTTCTTCGAAGTTTTTCTTTCAAAAGATTTTCAAATTGAAATTTTGGTTTTCCTGGAGCTTTACGTGCTGTTTGAATTTCGCCACATTTCTCTTCTTTAACAACTCTGTAAATCGTTAGATTTCCCAACACCAAGCGTACTACTAACTAATTCCACTGTGTCATCAACACTTTTACATAAATGTTTGTCTGTAAATGATTTAAAACAATTAAATATTAATGTTTTTTCATTAACTGTTAAAGGACCAATTTTTTGTCGTTTACGCGGCCCTTCCAAATTTTCCATGATCACACTAGAATTCACACTGCACCTTGCAAGTTGCAACTAAACGACATTTAGTAAACTGTCAAGAATACACAACTTGGACCTCCTTACTAAATGGAGAACCTATAATTGCATTTTCGGTGAAATTTGTTGGGAAGGTTTTTATCTACTTATAATTCGATTACTGTAAGAAATTCTTGAAATTAAAATAACACAAAATTGGCAAATAGGTACTTATTGAAAATAATCTTAAGATACGGCTATGTAATCTTTAATACACAGGGCTTTTGGCCTGTCCAAACCTTTTTCTATTGTTCTGTACAGCTTATGTTTATAAAAGACCCAAAACTTGTAATAGCTGTACATTTATTACAATTTTAGGAAATATTTAGATTATTCTGTAATAATATTTAAAATGACCGTACTAAGTTTTGCATTAGAAATGCTGTTTTATTACTCTCTCATACATAAAAATAGACTATAGTGCCAGCTGACAAACGACTCCGGTACGCGGCAGGAACTTGGAGATTTATGCAGCGCGAGGTTGCCACATTTCAAATAATTTTTAAACATAAAAAATATGCATAAAATAAAATAATAATATGATAAGACGTCGTAAAAATAAAAAAATATATTTTTGCATCAAAAATAAGGTAGTGCCATGGCACAGTGGTACTACCCCACGAGCCGCCACTGCATTTTGGTCCTCTATCCAACCGTGGGTTGAGGAAATAGAAAGGGAGGCTGATAGAAAATCTCCGGAACCAAAAACTGTGTGACCTTTGGGTCTAATTTCAAAACAATTTTTTTTTTTTCACTTTTTTTCGTACAGACGAGAGGAAGTAGGGGATAGGAGAGAGTGAAATTTTTTTGCCTTTAAGTCCAATACATCGTTTCTGAAGTTTATTTTTTAAGCCTAACAGTTCTATATATCGATCTTCCCTGTGTAGGGGAAGAAGTAGGAGGTGAAGCAGTGGAGGAGAAGTAGAGGGGGATTATGTAGTTTGAAATCATTTCGTAAGGGGTCTATGACTCCGCTATTATTTATTTAGAAATTTAGGGGGGTTAATGTTCGCCGTAGACTAATTTTATTATTCAACCAAAATTCATAATTATTGTGGATCAACTAATTTCATACAACGAAGGGTGAGAAAAAAACTTCCAAATTTTTTTTATTGATAATACTAAAGCTCGTCAATAGCTACTACACAAAATTTAAAAAAGGAAATCACTTCACAAACAGAAGAGAAAATGGTACTGAACCATTTTGCCTACGCAAACAAGTTTCAAATAAAAGTTATATAAATTTAAAAATTATGTATTTTGAAAATATTTTTGGATACACAGTGCAAACAAAAATGTATATTTTTTAAATTTTATTTCAATTTTAGAATATTTTGGTTATACTGTATTCAACTCATTTGTTTTTTTTTTAATATTACAGGTTTGCCAAGCAATTAATTTTTTTTTATAAAATTAGAAAATGATGCAGAGCCCTAATTAAATTATCCTCATTTAGGTCGGTTTGCAATAATTTAAAAATTGTGGTGATAGAACTGGAATATTTTATACAGAGTATTATAAAACATGTTTTAAATATGGTTAATTTTAAGTTCAATTTACTCAATTTTTTCAAATGCTACACCCTGTATATTATTTTGGCATCAAATTCCTTATAATTTTACCTATCCAACGATACTAACATGTTAGTCAATAACACATATACAGAGTGTCCCATCAGTCAGTACCTAATTGATCGATAGCTATTTTGTTATTGGAAATACGAAGAAATTTTTAATATAAAAGTTGTATGACCATATTTAATCATTATTCTTAAGTATACAGGGTGGTTCATAAACAAGGGGAGTTTTTAAAATCCAATAAAATTGGCTCAAAATTACAGTTCTCTTATTACTATTATACTGTTATTGGACATTTGATGGGAAGAAGCGTTTTTTGCATTACCATAGCGAATTACGCTCTCGAATGGTTAAAGTAGAGAGTTGAAAAAAAATTTTAGTATTTTTTTTTTGACAGACTTTGTCATAAAAATGTTTTTTTCAAAGCTGTATGAAAAATAGTTTCTCCCATTTTGAGTTGGTATCATTTTGATCATTACTCTTCCATTATAGGCCCTATGAAAACCGATTAGCACTTTATATTTTTCTGTGAATAGTTTATTTTGTCTTTTTATTTCCTATTGTTGTCTTTTTATTGCTTAGTTTTAACTAAAACGTTTATATTTATAAAATATTTTATTCTATACAACTAAAGTGTGGCAAAATATATTGTAAAAACAATTTTAAAAATGTATCTATTTGAAGAGAAAATTGCAAATTCAGCAACTAACGTCAGTTTGAAATTTCCAAAAGTGAAACGCCTTTTACCAAATTATTGGTTTGATTTACTAAAATAGTAATTGATAAGGAAAGTAGGCGTGGTAGTGGATTCTCATTATAAATACCTATACCACATAATTTTACTTTAATTTCAATAGAAATTAGTGCGATGACGGCAGTTAACGAAGAAGAATATGGTAATATGCTATTAACTGAACCGATTTCGCCTAGTTCTAGCGATACGAAGTCACCACCCGCTTACGGGGGTATCAGTGATAACAACAATTATCTGAACCCGGAGGATAAGCAATCTAATTTAAAGGAATCACAATACAGTTCTCAATACAAGTTCGACGATAGTCATATGGTAAGTGGAAAGAAGTCTTTAAGTCAATTTTAAACATTCTAAATTCTATGAATAGTCTTTTGTGTAAATGTATGTTAAAAATTAATGATATTGCAAATTTATTTTCATTTCTAATAAAAGAAGGGGTTATAATTGTTTATACAATTTTATTATATTTTATTTTTGTTACTAACAAGAATCCTAAAATCTAATTATGTTAATCCTTACTCAATAATTAATTATTATGGTTAATTAGGTATTTGCAAGAAAGTGTATTTCCAATAAATGTGGAAATTGCCAAAAAAGTACATAATATATTGATCACTGGTTTTAGGATATTTTGTATAAATAAAAAAATCTCATGTGTCCAACATATGATTTTCCTATCTAGTTATTGCAGACTTTTTTCTGGTTATTTGGTACAACCTTTTGTATCACTCCTGTAAATGTTTAGAGGATAAACTAAATACATACATTTTCCACACACATCTTACTCGAAACATATTTTCTCATACAGGGTTTTTCAGAATAAAGTACCTAATTAATAAGAAAAGCTAAATATTTTTTTTCTGTAAAGGTCCTAATTTTCATTCTACATGGTGATAAAGTAAATTTCAAAAATACATAATTTTTTAAATATTTTTCCGTACGGTAAAGATTTTTACGTAAAAAACTGTATGTATATCTTAGTAATTCCTCATTATTAGTTAACACACTTTATTTTGATAAATTACGATAACCCATTGGCGTAGAATCAAGGCAGATAATATAAACTTTTGAGCACTATATATTTAATAAAAGTTAGGATTTATAATTATTTCCCATGCAACTTGTCACAAAACAGGAACTTTTGATTGATCTCTGTAAAACATTCTATTTTATTTTATTCTGAATCACCCTGTATATTAATTGAGAAACAAAATACTGAAAAATTAAAATTTTTCACTTTTTCTCAAATTTTTCCGTTACGGTTTATTTTAGAGAAATTGTGTATAAAACAAAAATTATTTATTTGAACATTTTTTTTTGTTAAATTAAAATTTTTTGACCCATTTGATTATCACACTTTACACACTTGTTGCATACATAACTATTTCTTTAAGATAAATAATTGTGACTATTTTCAAATCTTTATAATTTTTAAACTAGATTAGATAATGAAATGCAGATTTTGCCAGTATTTTTTAATTTTTATGTTTTTTTTTCTTACTATCTATCTGCTTCGGCTCATTTCCAGTTCAATCAGAAATGACTGCGTATTTTCTGGAGGGTAACTACGTGATTTTAGATGGTACACCGTGTATAGGTTTAGATATTCAGAAAATCTCTTGTTTTTCCTATCTTAAAGTATAGCATAGGTATGTAACATATTTTGTTTTTGTATAAAGCCTTTACGGCAATTAACGTGTTAAGTTTACTTTTTTTATTTTTTATATATTTTTTATACACTCTTACGTATACTTTATTTTTAAAAAGAGAAAAGAATGAACTTTCTTATCTAAAAAAATATAGAAGCTTTCCTTTGAAATTACATAGTCTAGGTCATTTTCGGTTAATGCAGAAGTGAGAAAAAAAGACTAAGAATCTGAAAAACTTACGTGGCAATTAGAAGAATATTGACGAAAACGGTATTTCTTAACAAGTTTAAAAGTTACATATACGTTTGATATATAAAAAATATAATGGATATCTTCAAGTTATCACCTTCTCTTTAATTTTTTAATTTAAAATCGAGAGACGCTAAAATGGTGGTTCCCACCTTATCGTGACTGAGGCCCGCAAGGGTAAACTCGTAGCGTAACAAAAACGAGAAATGATTTAACTTTGAAGGAAATACCGAAAGCAGATATTAGGTAGTATTAGAACGTTGAATTTTTTGGTTTGTGAAGCATTGGCATTACTTAGGTTAAACCATATAATGATTTTCACAAGCCATGATTTAAAAACTTGTTCGAGCAATTTATCCAATAATAATTGGCCCCTTTACCTCTTAAGCCTGCTCATGTAAAATATTTGGTCTCCTTACTTCGCCTACTTATATTCTATTAATAAAGAACAGAAGAATGAGTATGGCAACTATGTTAAAAGAAATAAATTGGCTTCCAGTTCAGAATTATGCTCAGTACATGACTGATATTTATTTACAAAATAAAAATGACATAGTACCATCGCAACAGATCTATTAGAAAAAAATTCAATATAATTCGCAGTATCACAACTATAATACAAGAAGCCAACCTGACTTTCATATACGGCAAGCCATCACTAAAAGTTCCCAAAATACAATTTTTATTAAAGGTTTAAAAAATTGAATAGACTGCCTACAGAAATTAAAAAAATAATAATAACAAGTATTAGAAATTAAATATTTAAAAAAACCGACTTCAAAAACGTGCAGATGCCGTCACCACATCTTAACCAATTTTACATGGGATCACCCTTGAGGTACCCCCTTACTAACAAAAAAAGAATCATAGAAATCGGACAAGATGGTAAAGCATTATCGTTGAACATACATAAAAAATGAAGAGTTTGAGATTTTCCCATGGATCCAATTATAAGATTTTAACCAAATTTATATGGGACCACCCCTGAAGTACTCCCTTTCTAACAAAAAAAGAATAATTGAAATCAAACACCGTGTTGAAGAATTATCGCTGAACGTACATAAAAAAAAATATCGCGACAAATTGAGAACCTCCTCCTTTTTTGAAGTCGGTTAATAAATATATTCAAAAGTAACCTCAAACAATACTTGATAAATAAACAGAACGGATATACTTTCTTATGATAATACTTTTTAAACCTGCCCTTTCTTAAGTATTTCCCTTAATTTATTGTTATTTTACCCCTCGTTTTACCCGCATTTATTATAAATTATTTGTTTTGAGATCATGTACTTTATTTTAAAAAATTACTTGATGTTATATTAATACTACTTACTATGTTTAAATTATTAATAGTTTTGCGACGAAAGGTTATAGCAACTTATAGCCACAACACTATTTTTGTGTTAAAGTAGATCCATAGAGAGCAATGTAATTTACAAATACCTTCTTTCAACATACAAATAAATAACAACTTTATAATAAAAATCTGATGTGTCCAACACATGACTTTCCTATCTAGTTATTATAGGCTTTTTCCGGTTATTTTGTACAACCTATTGCAGCATCTCTATAAATGTTTAGAGGATAAACTAAATATATACATTTTACACATACATCTACCTCGAAACATTTTTCTATAGATTTTCATTGAAAACGAAAATACAGAAAAATTTAAATTTAGCACTTTTCCATTACGGTCCATTTTAGAAAAATCATGTATAAACAAAAATTATAGAAATCGATATCGCAAACAACTTTTAGTTCAACAATTTTCATAAAAATCAGAATTTTGCACATTTTGTCAAATTTCTCGAATACGGACCATTTCAGGAAACTTTGACATAAAACAAAAATTATAGATAATAATATTAGAAGTAACTTTTATTTGAACAATTTTCTTCTCCAAACATAAATAACAGATATATTCCATAAAATATAAAAACGGCCTCCCATAAAGTACCCCCCCAGATGTTTCGACTTTGTCCAAAATCTAATCATTTCACGTCAGGCCGAAATAAACCTTAAGTTTAAAATTTAATGTTTTTTCCTTTATCCGTTTTTGAGTTTTCTTCAAATTTCGAAATTTACACATTTTCTCAAATATCTCGAATACGGTCCATTTTAGAGAAATTATGTATAGGACAAAAATTATAGAGAATTATATTACAAACAACTTTTATTTGAACAATTTTTATAAAAAATTATGTTTTTTACATTTTGTCAAATTTCTCGAATACGGACCATTTTAGGAAAATTTTGCATAAAACAAAAATTATAGATAATTATATTAGAAGTAACTTTTATTTGAAGAATTTTCTTCTCCAAACGTAAATAACAGATATATTCCATAAAATATAAAAATGACCACCTATAAAGTACCCCCCCAGATGTTCCGACACTGCCCAAAATCTAATCAGCTCATTGGACGCTGAAACAAAGCTTAAGTTTAAAATTTGGTGTTTTTCTGTGTATCGGTTCATGAGTTATGCGTTATACAGACACACACACAGACACACACACACACAGACACACACACACACACACAGACATCATCGCGAAAATAGTCAAAACGGATTCAGGGGACCTCAAAACGTAAAAATCCGTCGAAAACTCGAGGTCGAAAAAAATCATGATTCCTATACTTTCCTTATATCTGTATACAGATAGGAAAGTAAAAATGAAAAACACAACAAAATACCTCGGTATTATAATTGATCCAAATTTGAAATGGGCATTATATCCTTTTATCTCTTTTATATATTAAAAAAGTGCTTCGTATAAGAACATTATATTATCTGTCTTGCTGTAATTTTATTTATGGAAAGCCTGAATTTAGATACACTACAAATTATCTGCAATAAATATTAAAAGAAATATACATTTTTAAATAATTTGACATTTAAGAGCCATTCACATATCACAGTTGACATCTTAATACTTACAGGCACAGCCAAGCATTATTCTGATTTTTGCCAAATAAAATGGCCGTTTAATTATTCTATAGGGTTGCGACAGAGAACCAGTAAATTTGATGAAGGTGTTTTTGTGGCTAGGGGCGAAATAGTAGTACGCTTAATAGCACCACCATAAAAGTCATTTTTAAAAAACTGCTTGTATATTTTTCATAAATTGGCAGGCTTGGCGACTAATTTCGAATGAAAATAGCCTCCAAAATGGCTATATGGTTGCAAGTATGAAGGTCGCAACCCGCCTTAGAAATTTCACATGTACTATCAACAGCTGTTGTTTGATAGGTCATTAGAGAATGTTTGCAATTTATGGAATGTGAAGAATGTTAGGAATTTTGACGTTAGAAATAATTGAAATTCCTAATATAATCACATAAGGAACGCATAGGCGGATATACATACATACAGACAGACGACCAGACGAAAAATTTTTGTTTGGATTTTCGGATTCAGAATGATCAGAAACATGAAAAAAGTTTTAAAAAATGCTGGTCAGAAATTTTTTCGTCTGCACGAATGCAATACTGAGGGCCCATAGGAAGGGCCTTAGTAATTTTACGTATAACCTTAAAACGTAACAGTCGGTTAGTGAGCTTTATCTAGATGAGATGACAGTGGTCCACATATTCACTGACAGATGAAAAACATAATTCAGTTAAATATTTGTTTAACATAACTTTAAGATTTTTTTTTTATATTTACAAAGAGATATCAAACAGTTCTAATATTATTAACACTTCTAGTGTTGTAAATGTCTGCATTTTAAAATAGTTCCATCTTTTTTATTGTGAATTTGTAAAAAGGCGTTATATAACCACAAAGTTGGTAGAGGCATTATTTTATATTGAACAAAAAAAGAACGACATGAATCTCGAGGTCCAATGTTACCAATAATTTGTATTGCTTTCTTTGGAAGTCTAAAAACTTCTAAATTTGAAAATTTTCCCCAAAAAATTATGCCATAATTTAAAAACGTGAAATAGTGAGAAATATATTGATAGCGACGTATTACTATTGGTCAATCAGTTTAATTGTCTAAGCAAGAAAAAAGTACTAGATGACTTACTTTTTAACTAATATGACTCTTCCAAATTAATTTATTATGCAGAATTATATCAAGTTACTTGACTGAAGTTGACTCCATTTCTGGCGCGTTAATAATATGGGCGAAACGTAGTTCTTGAGGGTTTTTATTGTTTAATTTAAGACGATTTGGTTGAAATCAATTTTTTGCCTGATTTTCAATAGATATTGACTTAGCTGCAATGTACGTAAGATCTTCTTCTGAATAGATAGAATATGTATCATCTACAAAAAGAGCAGTACGATGTGGTTTCATGACACATGGCAGATCATTTATATGTATTATAATTAACAGGGGTCCAAGAAATGATCCCTTTTGGAACCCCATTGTGTATTATTTAAGCCATATTTAATATTTTGTTTGATAACTTTATAGAAATATTTGCCGTTTTCCTCAAATTTTTCCATTGGCGTCCATTTTAGAGAAATCGTGTATATGGCCAAAATTATAAAGAATGACATCACAAACAACTTTTTTAAAAGAAATTTCTTTTCTAATTATAAATAACAGAAATATACTTTAAATTAGAAAAAAAGTACTTTTAAGTACTTGTAGCGATGTATTAAAAAAAATTCGTATTTCTCTATTAATAATTATCTATAAAAAAAATATATTTTCATTAAAAAACGGATGCGTACAGTGTCCTTATATGAATATACTTTTTTTCCATATATGGAAAACATATATACTAAGGAAATTTGTTTTTAATTGTTTAAATAATCTCGGTTAGGTGGAATATTTAATAAAAGTGTTTTTGATTGAATCGTAATATTTTGATTTAATTATTTTCCAGATAGAATGTGAAACACCCTAAGTATTAGAGTGATCGTTAAAAATTAAAAAAATTTTCCGACGCCCTAAAAAAGCCTTCCTTTTGATGAAATAATACAAGCTATTTTTTTTAACAACAAAAACACTTGCCGCAAGCCGATTGAAGTTTATTTTTTCATAAAATATATCTTAAAGTAGACGGATTTGAGAAAACATCAGTAAAATTTTGTAGGATATAAAATTCTCTACCAAAACGGTATCTTTTGGTTTTTTCCCAAAGTTCATATTTAAGATATTCTCAATATAAACTCATTAACTCCTTAAAATCAAAGTTTTCAGATTTTTCTCAAATCTGTCTGTTTTAAGAGATATTTTGAAAAAACTACGATTATATGAAAAATAAACTTCAATCGGCTTGCGGCACGTGTTCTTGTTATTAAAAAAAAAATCCCCGTATTTTTTCACCAAAAGGAAGTTTTTTTTTTGTGGGGGTCGAAAAAAATTTAATTTTTAACGACTACTCTACTATGTATATTTTAGTATTGTTATAATTTATTACACAGTGTCCTCTTTAACTGCTACCATTCAGCATAAAGATTTTTCGTGTTATTTGAGATGATTATTAATGATTTGTTGTAAAAATAGCTTTAAAACGATATAATATAATTTTATCCCTTTTTATAAGAAAACATTTTCAAAATTGTACGCAACTGACATTTTTCTTCCAAAAAAATAATTTTTTATATTTTATCTAATTAAGCGCCCTAAACTACACCGCAAATTTTTTGAAAGGGGCCGCTGGACTCTATATCCTAAATCTTCAGGATTCATTTTAGTTTTTTTTGCAAATATCTTTAGTATTCCAAATTAATTCAATTTAATGTGTTTTGATTGTTTTTAAATCAAGAAAAATAATTATCAATGCAACCAAAATTAAAAGTGTAAAATGTAAATTAAACAAAGTTTTAAAATTCTTTAGATAATTGTAGACTCGTATGATTTCTTATTTTTTTAAGTTTCAGCACATGGATCACCTACCAATACCTAGATGGAATGAAAAATCCAACGAAAATTATACATACGACCCGAACAATCCAGTGGTTGTTAATTATGAAAGACCATATTTTAGCGTTCATGTTCCGTTTGAAATAACGCCTGCAGAGGAAAATAACTCCCTACCTATCAGCACAAAAGGTATGGAAAAAACGTACATTACTATTTTTTCCGAAACAGACCCATTGTTCAATTTTTTTACTATGCTCATCTGACTTTATTTTTAATAATATTCCAGCATGTTGGCTTACTGTATTTTTGTGTATTTTAGTTATTAGTAATAACTGCCTACTCTGTCACTTGTCTTCCTTTCCTTATATTGTTTTACAGGTCCTTGACGTACAGTCTGTTCGCTATACTTACGCGGGTTTCGGATTAAACATTTTAAGAGTATTTCCAGATAAGTACCCGAAAGTTTGACCTATTCTTTGGGGAAATATCAACTGGTTAAATGAAATGAAAAATAATGTACAACTTTTTAAATAAATAATAACGGAGAATCTTTTGTATAATTGAGAGCAGAATTACACTTATTCATTAATGGAGTCTAATGTAGCTATTATAAACCTTATAATACTTTTATATTACACTTCACACAGAAAATATGGTCTATGTATAATAAGAGGGTTATTTAGCTCAAATAAAATATTTTCTAACATAAAAATTTGTTCCATGTAGAGAATTTCAAATGAAAAATAAAAAAATTGAACTTGCCAACAAAAATAAAAATCAGTCATTATCATCCAAAATATCATAATCGTCATCATCATCACTGTCATCACCATTAATTGGTATTATGATTGGACTTATTTCGTTTATTTTATTTTCACGAGTCCACCAATCTTCTATTAGTTTCTCGCACTTGGATATACAGTTCCGCCACAATTCTGGAGTTGCAATTGAAAGTGCTTTTCGCCAAGTTTCCCGAACTGCGTCGTCACTATAACCATTAGACCCAATATGGTTGTCATAATATTGTTTTGCTATTCCCCATATATATTCGATGGGATTAAACTGGCAATGATATGGTGGCAGACGTAAAACTTGATGACCGTAACTTTCAATAATCTGATCCACAACAAAGGTTTTTGGTTTTGCGTGTATATTTGCCAAGCGTAATAATTCTGATTTTAATATATATTGAGGAAATGGTATATGTTCCTTTGTCTACCATTCTTTAATTTTATCAACAGTCCAAGAATTCGTTGGACTTTTGTTTAATACTTCAGAATGGTAAGGTGCATTGTCTAAAATAATTACGCTTGGCTCACTTAAACCTGGGAGAAGTTTTTCATGCAACCATTTTACAAACATTTCTGTGTTCATATTATCGTGATAGTCACTGGATTTTGATTTAGATGAAAATATTAAATCAGCACCTTCTATAAAACATGATTTCCCTCCTGCATGTAAAATTATGTGTCGCTTCCCTTCTCCATCGGTATGTTTGATGGACTTTACGTTATCATCTTACCATATTCTCTTGGTTGCACCCTAGAAAATAAATTTAGAATATTTTCTTAGAAAGTTAATTCTCTTGTGCACGACAGAACTTCTTTCACAAAGAGCCTTTCTCTTATCCTCCTTCTGAAAATTAAGACCCAAGTTATGTAACACTTGCCATAGACTTGTTCTGCCAATGTCGTCAAATTGTCTATCTATTAATTCCGAGAGAATTGTATTTAAGGTCACAAATGGTATCACGAATTTCAAATGTCCTTCCATCTGGAATATCTTTCGTTTTCAATAATGGGCAAGTTTTGCGGTGATCTTCTTTCGGCAGTTCACTATTGTGATTTTGTAATACTTTTCCTAATTTGGTTTCACTAATTCCTAGAGCATCGGATACGCGTTGTTGTACAGACATTACCGATTTTAAAGGACCGCCATTTTTTTTCATCCGTAAAATACTTATGTACACTACAAATTAGACTATCTACATATAACACACGTCTAGGCATTTTTAAAATTTCCACTAAATTTACAATATACATACAATGTCAACACCTGCAAAGAATCAATCATAGATAAATTAATATGTAAGATACATCGTTTAAATGCACGACACTGGTAACAAGTTTTTAGGTGTTTAGTTCCTTAGCATACTACTTGGAGCCACCATCGCAATAAGAAAGCGATGTTGCCAGTTTCCATAAACTTTCATAAGATTAGAATTATTTAAACACATTATGTTGTTTTTTTTGTCAAGCTCGATACCATCCATACAATGGCATACTATTGCATACTATTGATGGGATATTTTAAAAAGAGGTTTGACAACCTTGTAAAAATTAAAAACGGAATGGCGGCGGAAGGCGAAATGGGCAAATTACAACAATATAAGTAAATAAAAGTTATTTTATGATGTAAGTTCGCATAAGTAGGTAAAGGTAAGTTATTTTTAGGTTAAGAAGATTTATGAGTGATGATTTGATGTAATTAGTAAGTACTTATTAACAATTTAATTTAATATTAGGTGTTAGATTTGTTTAAGGACTTTGTTTATTATTGTTTTCTTGGCCTTAATACGAAATATAAGTAATTTCATTTTGAATCTATATTCAATTCTTTTTTTAATATATTTGTAACAATATCAAAACATGTCTGACCCGGGTAAAGCATCGAAGGGCAAAGCTAAGTATTCTTGTTCAGCTCCTAATTGTTTAAATAAGTATTCTAATATTCAGTAAGCTGGTTATTCAAATAAAACTTTTTTTTATTTTCCTTCTGATGTTAAAATTCGAGAGAACTGGTTTAAGAATTTAAATTTAACTTTTGATAATAAAACTCGCTATCTTTGTGAAGATTGCCAGAGTCTTTTAGCAAAATTGCCATAAAACGTAAACGACTAATTGTAAATGCTGTACCAATTTTATTAGATAATAGTACACCCAATTCAACTATACCGAACTATATTCAACCGGAGAGTCATATTTTAGAACATGTTGATGCTGAAGCACATACACAGCAGCATAAGATTGATTTGCTAATCCACAACGACAAACAAGAGATGAGTTGCAAACGTAAATTTAGTATTAGTGATAAACAATTTGAACTTGTATTTATAAGAATTGGCAACATTTTGATAAGAGAAATTGTTCAATAAGGTATGTACACTTTTTTTTGTTTTTATAGAAAACGCCCTGAGAAAACACCTAACACCTGCATCGAAAATTGGTCCATTTTCCAAGAATGAGAGGAGACTACTATTAATTTCACTTATAATGATTGTTATGTAATATCGAGTACATATTATGTATGTAATAAACGTTTAAATGCACCTTACTTGTATTAAATAATTAAACTATACCTTTTTATTTTTATTGTTTACAAACTCAAAAATGGAAACAATAACAAGCCACAACATTTAGTTTAAATGTTTATGTTTCAAGTATTTTAGTATAAATATTTCTTTATTTATATTTTTTAGAGTTTCATTACTTTAAAAAACTAATATTTATGTTAAATACAATATTTTAATTTAAATATTAGTTTTTTTTGAGTAATGAATTCCGAAAAAATGTAAATAAATAATAAAGTACATTTGAATGAACCGAGGGAAAAATAGACACTCTTCTTCTTATTTTCTTCTTCTGTGCTGCCTTTAACTGTCAAGCCAATTGTGTAATGTGCGATGGTGGCTCCAAATAGTATGCTGAGGAACTAAACGTGTTACCAGTGCCGTGCATGTAAACGATTTATCTTGTTTATTAATTTATCTATGGAATCAATTCAACTGCAATATTTGTAACAAATTTAGTACCTACCCTGATGTTATTTATATTAAATCTGACCATTAGGGCAATTTTACCTAATTTCTTGGGAAGAGGCTTATTGGAACTGGTTGTCAATGACTAATTTGCATAATTTTGTTAATCCGAAACCCGCGTAAGTATAGCGAACAGACTGTAGTGTGTAATATTGGTTCTGACACCAACCTGTTGTTAACCAGAAATTGTATGTGCCTCATGATTTAAGTCTTCGAAGTTGCAAACATCTAAGGGGTGCGTAGAGATAACAGGAGATGTAACTGCAAACAAATATCGTGCTGTCGTAAATAAGACATATTCTAAGGAACACAATATTCGCTCTTGTCCTGTCTATTTCATTATTCTCATTTCGTTCACAAAATTATTTACATATCTTAGAAAAGCTAAAATAATTCAATTTATTTTATTGTAACTGAATCCAAAAGTTTAACTAAATTAAATGTAGTATTATAAAAAGATATTAATAAGTTGAATATCAAGTATTTTGTATGCATGTGGCAACAGGGCTTGCATTGTATACGTTGTTCATTATCGACGTTCAACGACTTACAAATATATTCATTAATAAAATTGTTTTGTAGGGACGTTAAATCCTTTAGTTTATTCCTTCCCGTACCTCACTCCACATGTCTCTTCACTCCTAACCTACAACTGGACCGGATCAACTGTGGTATCAATGTTGGCGTCACGAATATTATATTTTATCAATGAATAGCTATATCTCCTGTTATCGTGTACAGTTATGGGTCCTCTTATTTAACTAGTTCCAATTCATAGAGTGTAGCTTTTCTGTTCTTTTTATACCTAGTCGTCCTATGAATGTTTTCAAATACTTTTTTTTTCGGTCTAATGGCTAATTATGTATGTATTGGTTTTGTCCAGTAAGTAAATCGGTATATATTATGATTTCACCGAACTTAACCTTTTATAAAACCTTATACTGTACCTAAAAATACGTTTGTCAGAATTTTCATCACTCTTTTTCCTCTGTTGACTTAGCACCTACATTCCCATTATTTCATATATGCTCCGATGCTCGTATTATTCTAGGTATTATGTTCTAATTCAGTATGGCCTTAAGACTAACCTGGCATAATATAATGGATCTGCTGATTCTTTTTATCATTTGTTTTTACACCTTGCAAAATTACTTATTGAAATACTGGGAGATTGCTTATTGTATAGCTAATATTGGTGAATAGGTTTTTGAAATATATTTCATTTAAAGACCCATCTGTATACCAGATTTGTTTCTGACTCTGATTGGTCTCTTTCGACGTAAACTCCGTTCTGTTCGGTATCAGAATCTTAAATAGAGAGTCAAAGCAATATTGCTTTGTTGGTTTCTTATCTAGCATGTTTGCTTTTACTTTATAATTCATATATTATGTAGCTAAAGTATTATTTATTCACAGTGTGTTTTCTACCTTGCAAACATCTAATCTTATCTAACCCTTTAAAACATTTGTAAGAACCTTCCATAAGAGCTGTTATCATCATTCTTTGAGTTGCCTTTGACCACCACATTTAAGCTGCATATACCATTACTGCTCTCACCAGTACATTATATAGATAGTCAATATAATAGGTCTGGTTTGAAAACTTTTTTCCAAAAGAACCTCTATCAGTGTTGCTTCTACTTGAACGATACTATTAGAACTTTTGAACAAATAGTTTATCTGTAGTACTTCTAAGGCACAAGCATGGCGTCATTTTTAAGATTTATTTTGCGACCATTTAAATATCTTAATATCACACCAATTTTCTCCTCGTATCAGATGATTAAACGCTTGTTCCTTATAGAGTACTCATCTACTTGTGATAGCTCATGCAACACATGACTGGCAGATTAACTATTGAGATCAACTAAATAAAGAAGCATAGTGCAAACTAACGCTAAATTCTTATTTTGAAATAAATTTAAAAACCTGATACTTAAATACTCTCTTTTTCTTTTCTAGATTGTGAAAAAAGTCCTCGACCTCTTCCAAGTCCGAAAGTAACAAATATCAATAATCCCAAAAGAGCCAGAACCGCCTATACGTCTTCTCAACTAGTTGAATTAGAAAAAGAATTCCATTACAATAAATACCTTTGCCGTCCTAGAAGAATTCAATTAGCACAAACCCTTAACCTCAGTGAAAGACAAATCAAAATATGGTTTCAAAATAGAAGAATGAAATACAAAAAAGATCAAAAGAACAAACCTGGTTCGCCTGATCATAGAGCGTCTCCGGTAATATCTTCATCTTCTAATAATTCAAGTCCTGGTTCTAAATCTAGGCTGCAACCCAAATCTGAAGATAACGCACTAGTAGATCGTCTGTTAAATCATTCAGTCGCAGCTCAAAATCAGTATATACCGCAGACTTTGCCAAATTACAGCTCACCTACTTATTGTCCACAGTGGGATCGAGAAAGACCGAGTTATTCCGGCCAATACCTTCCAAACTGTGGAACCAACATGTACATAGAAACTCAAGTAGAAAATGGTTATTCGTATAACTCCAACATAAATTATTATCCTATTAATAGTTATGAAACATACCAAGATGATGGCAACAAACCTCTTTACCAACCTTATTTAACGGTTAAAAAGGAAGGAGGATCTAGATTAGTTGGAGAGGAACATGTAGATCACGTCGCGTATGAACACAGATCTGATTTTAATAACGGAATAAATATTCAATGGGAACAAGGACATTTGGGAAACATTACTCCTCCAGATAGTTTGACCCCCTTGTGATTCAAATTAATTTTAAGGTACTATTATTTTATGCGCTTGATTATTGTAATTTATACATTTTTATAAAATAAAATTTATATTGTTGTTAGGTTTTATCACTTCTTTTGTGGAATTTGTGAAAATTTAAAATCTTTTATTATATCTCAGGAACTATAGATGATGCCCGAAATGTAAAACCTAATAAAAACAATTTATTTTGTAACCTTAAATTAAATTTTAATTCAGATAAACATGTATTTTTTTAAATAGGTTTTTGTTTAACCCTTTCATGCAAGATTTTTTTTTACCCAAAAAATAAAATAGCTACAAAGTTGAATAATAACTATTTATTGGTTTATAACAAACTGATAGAAATGAAAAAAGTTACATTTTTGTAAACAAAAAAAAATGTCCTCATATCGCCTTATGTAAGATGAAATTAAAGATGTAGCAATTTGGCTTTTGAATGACAGTAAGTCTAACGATTCATGTTTATTAATCCTCCAGATTAGCCACTCGTTTAAAAATCTCGCATATACCATCTTAGATTTTTCGTGTCGTTTCTATAAAGTGCTACTAGCATATCCGTGAGATCGACGCATCCCATGTGTTTATTATAAACAGTTATAGCTCGAGGTCTAGTGATTTTTATGTTCTGCCTCTGCTTTCTACAAAATGGGGTGGCTTCCTCACAGGGGGTTAGGCCTACATAGTTAGATATGGTATGCACTAAGGAGTAATCCAGCCAGCGTACTATGGACACTCCATCAGCTGTTACAATTGAAGAGATACCGCTACCTTCAACTTTTAGATTCTTGTGGCTCTTTAAAACTTTACCAACTCCCAAGTCTATTAATTCCGATCATCCCAAGGTACCATATCATTTCTGTTTTAGCAGCAAGAACTAATGGAACGCTGGAAAAAAATTGTTTGCCAAAATCTTATAATTCTCACTCTTTATGCAGGGGTCGGCATAAGTCTGGCAACACTAAAAGTTTTTTTCATACATATGTACTAATACCTATGTTCTGTCACTGTGAACCCCCAAAATTTTGGCCACTGCGTTAATGCATTGATCAAGATGGGCATCAATTTAAACACCTAAACTAACCCTTTTTCGAATCCTTTTTGTAATTTCTTCGAATAAATTCATTTTGACGCTGCATTTTTTTTGTGCAAATTTGTTGCCTGACTTATGCCGACCCCTGTATCATGGCATAATCGCATTACGACGTCACCACCTACACCTAATTTGGTGATACTTTCTCTAATTCCAGATGAATAAAATATCTGGTATAAACATTGATATAAGGGTTTTTCGACCGTGAAAAAGATATAGTATGACACATGTTATTATTGGGTTTCATCAAATTTTCATTACACCACATAATAGGACGTTTTAAGTCCTCTTTTAGATTTAGATTATCACTAGCGCATTCATTAGTTTTATATAATCTGCCAAATGCATAAAATTTGGACGAAAAAAAAAACTTCGATATGTCGTTAATAAATAGGTTGAAGACGATTGGCTCTAAGTGTGATCCTTGAGGGACACTTATTGTTAATTTTTCTCTCTATAGATTTAATACGTTCTGCCAATAACATAAGTCCTCATCCAACTAAGGAAACAACCATTTATGCCTAGAGTATTAAGTTTGTATTACAAAGCTTCATGATTAAAGCGATTAAATGCCATAGAGAAATCCGTAGAGATTGCATATACCTGAACTCCTTGTCCAATGTATTAGGCAGATAATCGTACTAAGTTAGTAGATTAAACTCAGTGGATTTGGAAGATTGGAAACCATATTTTTGGTCAATTAAAACATTTTTAAATGAAGGCATAAAAATCCACCAATACAATTCTCAAAAAGTATGGGCACAATATTAAGAATACTAATGGGCCATGTTCAGATGGCCCAGAGTTACTATACAAGTTATTCTAAATAATCAATTTGTTAAAAAAGCCAAAAGTTTTTAAAGTAAAACCATTTATAATTCAAAATTTAAAATGTGTACGTCATCGGGAATGGTCCAATTAGCTTATGTCGAAATTTTGTGTGTTATACAGAACCAAGACAACGAACAAACCAACACATAGATTGTCGAAGTGAACACACACCTTAGTGACACTTGAAAGTTGACACCACCTAACCTAACATTCGTTGTTGCCGTTGTTGATTGTTGACTTTTTTCTCGATTCTCGATTCATTTCTTTTGTTTTTGCTAATTGGTTTAATTATATTATTAATATGAGTCTGTCAGCTGGATTTAAAAAAGCTGATTCATTGTAAACCAAGATACGATTACTGTATTTTTTAAATAATACTCAGTTTATAAGTGCCGAAGTTAAGAATGTTAAGAGACAAAGGTATGTAACACTTTATTTATAATTTGTTTTCAAAGTAGGTACAGTTTATATGGGGCAATATATTTTATAGTAAAAACATATTTCTCATCTCATTAGGGTTATTGACCAGTAACCTTTTTTTTTTTTTTCAAAAATAAACAGTTTTCCTTTACCCTGTTGTTTTATTTCAGGATTGCCTAATTTATAAGGAAAAAAGATTTTTTCTTATATTAGCATACACTGACATCCACAAATATAACACTAGAAACTGGAACGATATATCTGTACTTTGGAGCAACAGGACCAATATCTAATTTGAGTGAGAGAGCGTCGTTTAAAGTTGTGCTGTTGGTATTATTTCTCCAATTAGAAGTAAAAGTATAATTATTATGTATTACCTGAGAAATAGCAAATTTGTTATTATATGAAACGAGTTAATACATTTTAGGTAATTATCTCATACTTGTAATTTTTATGGACTTTGGGTCTTGGTTGTTTTTAAACAAATGTAGATTAGCAAAAACACAGGATTCTTATAGACTCTTAAACTTTGTAATGCCTGCCTCAAAAATTATAACTAAATAAAACCTAAAATTATTTAGAAGGGTAGTGCACAAGTATTTACTGTATAATTGTTTTTATTTGGTACCTATTTGCAACATGTTATTGTAAATACTTGTACTTTAAGTACATTTGTGTGTTTAAATAACTACTTTTTGTAAGGGTACATAAACTTTCTCTATAACAACTATTATACACATGTCTAGTATTTACATGAATAAATCTACAATAATATTGCTAAATTGAAATAATAAAAACACAAATATGTTTGTAATTTATGAAATAATTTGGAACATAGAAAAGTAATAAAAATTAAAAAAACAAAAATAGCAAACCATAAAAATGTACTCTGGAAAATACTAAAAAATTATCACTTAACTATGTATTATTTTTAGATCTGCCAAGCAAGTATATGGGGATAATGCAATTTTTCATGAATAACATGAGAGAGGGAGATATTTGCACAGTAAACGGAATAATTACACCTGAAAATAAAGTATTTTGGATTGCTTCTCCCGCATTTGAAGTATAATATGAGGTAGAAATACCATAAGTTGAATTTGATAGTGAATCGTCAAGAGGACATTTTAATATGTGCAACTGCATTCTGGAAAAAGGCTGTTTTTAAATGTTTAATTGCAAGTTATTGTTAGGGCTTGTGTATATATATTTTTCTATTATTTATAAATAAAGTATTTTTTACTTCGTTTATCTTATTCAGGTACTTTTAGTTTTTAATAATAGGTTAATAAATAAAATTTTTACAAATTTTACATTTTTGTTTGTAAACAATTATTATAATCTCTGAAATGTGATAAATTAATAAAAAAAGGAAACATTTAAACAGTTTATTAAATTATTATTTTGTTATGCAAAATTAGTTCGTGTAAGTTAACAGAATCACAAGAAATTATGCAGCTAATACTAAGTAAATTTACTTAAAATTCACACAGAAATTTAAAAGGTTTATATATTGGCTAAACTTTCTTTCTCATAAATATTAATGAGTATATTTAAAACACTGTTTGGCAATCCTAAATATACCTTTTGATTATTTTCAATTATTTTCATTGTTTTTGGGGATCTTGCTCATTATGTCACTCTGAATCAGATATTAAAGATGTTTCTTCTGATTCAGGCAAAACTTCACTGCCTTAAAAACTTTCAGGAGGTTCTGGATATTCTTGAATAAGGGTTTTTAGGTTATACACCTTCGAACTTATAGTAGGTTCACTTTTAATTTTCCGACGGGAACAATGTCTGAAATGGCTGCTGCATCTTGAAGGTCTGGTGTATTTTAATTAAATATAGACGAAAAACACCTCTAGTAGAAGGGTATTTTCTTTGCCAGTCAACTTTTTAGAAGACATTTTAAATGTTTTCTATTTTTCTTATTTTTTGTCAAAATCAGTGAGATGGGTCTTGTGTGGTGAATACTAAGAAATTTGGAGGCATTTGCGTGGTACTACCCACTTCTTAATATGTAAAGGTATATCTAATAAATTACAAAATAAAACCTTATCATTTTAAAATAGAGTAAAGAAACAAAGCTGTTGTTTTGAGCGTTTCCATGTGTCCTTCTGCATGTCAGATTTCTAGCAACACTAATAAATATTTTTAATAATAAATGTGAATCATCAATGAATCATAATCACATCTTTCGAGAAAACACTTTTTCGTGCTCATAATATTATTTATAAAAACGTACAAAATTAAACACAAACATTTTCAAATTCCAAATAAAACATAGACACAACACAAAATAGAAATTCTTGATTGACAGTATTGATAGATCATACATACATACATACAGTGCTTTCGCATTGCAATTTTCTTGTTTATTAGGTGAAGTTTTTTAAAATAATGAAATTATAAATATGGTGAAAGTTTAAATATAAATAACACTTTTAAAAACATTTGATATTATATATTTAAAAGATATTTGTTTAACGTTATTTTAGTCTAAACGTCTAAAAGTAGCAAGGTGGACCCGAACGTATATTACTTTTCGTATTCCGTCTAATCGGCAACATTGTGTTGCTAGTTCCTATTGGTATATTCCCGGCTCCTTCATAAATTTTAAAAAATTATTAATTCTGGCAAAAGGAGAGATAAAAAAAATGAAAGTAGCTTCATTTTGAACTATATTATTCATAAAAAAAATTCGAACATTTTTGAACATGACTCATTGGACGATATAGACATTAGATATCTCCA